CTTCTCCATTAGGACACTGACACACCGTGTCAGCAGGTTGACCTTCTCCATTAGGACACTGACACACCATGTCAGCAGGCTGACCTTCTCCATTAATCTTTCTTTCTTTCGTTCCTTCATTCTTTCTTTCTCTTTTTGCTGACAATAAATCAACACACCCTTGCCTATCCCCGGTATCCCCAAAAACTAGGTCAGCTGCCAGCTCCTTACACTGAAACATTCGCAACATTTAGGTAAATCTCATCTTCTTAAGGCTTATTTGGCTCTGGGGCATCGTGAAGCGTATGACGTATGATGCTAATGAATCCATCACCCTCTCAGTGCAGAGTGTCGCTTCGTTGACTTTGTTACATAGGTTGTGAGTGCATGTTTTCTTGCTGTGTTCATTTTGATAGCATTTAGCTGAACTAAGCTAATCAAATATCCAACAAGACAGAATGAACAGCTTTTTCATTTGTGGTAATCCCCAGTTCCAGGTTATTATAGTGAGGTAAACAAATGTTTTTGTTTTTTTCCCGTCCTTTTCTGGGCTCAAAGCCATCTTTCATTTCCAGGTTTCTGTCTTCTTGTTTCATCCCCAGCTTCAAAATGTCTCTCATAAAATTACTGGTGGTACAGAAGAAAGGTGTAATCATGAGGAACAACATGGAGCACCGTTTCTCCTGAGACTTCCCCGATGCTTGTACAGGACGCATCCAAAGAAACGCTCTTATGCTTTAACAAAAAGTACTGTTGTTCCCCAGAATTCACGACGTCCTGTCCAATCCATGAGCCCTGCCCCCCCCCCCCCGCACTTCACATTTCACTACAGGATCAGAAAAAATGTCACCATCAAACTCACTCTGGGTTGTATGATAGTGAACAGGGTCATGTGACATGGGTGTGGGGGGGGGGATGGGTTTAACAAAATGTTGGGGAGGATGAAAACAAAGGACAATTGTCTTTTGGCATTGGCAACAAGGGAAACACAAGAAATTGGATTGGCTGTTTGGATGGGGAAATGGCTGTGGGGGGTGGGGGGCGAGGAGTTGGGGGGGGTGGTAGGGTCTGACAGATACACCCAGCACCTAGTGTAATGTAACCCCCCCCCCCACACACACACACATACACACACACACACACACACACACACTGCTGTGTTAGGGTGACATTGCTTTCGTAGGTATTACATCACGATACTGTGGGGGAGCCTTTTCATATTGTGGTCTGGATGCACCCTTGAGCCGTGGAAAAGGGGTTTACTGGGGAAAGAGGTTTACAATGGCGTCGGAATACAGTTTTTGCGGAAATCACAGGGTCCTGTGCAGGGGTTCAAAGGTCGTTTCTCGAGGGGGATGGAGTCTTGTTTTGGCCGACACCTCACAAATGCAACTTGAAGGTTAGGGTTAGACCCCCCCCACCCGCCCCCCCCCAGGCACCTTTGGCGTCCTTTCAATGATTTCAGAAAAATGTGTCGTCTTTAGAGCTTTGCGACTCGACTCGAACCCAATGGTTCCTGACAGACTATCGGATTTCAGGCCCGGGTGCAGGTCAGTGCCGACTCGGGTCGGGTTCTGTTTTTCAAACATTTTCATTTTCTTCCGTGTATAGGCGTCAGGCTAATATTTCCACAATGTTGAGCTTGGGTTGGATTCAGGATTTAGATTTGGTGGTACTGTTTGGGTTGAGTTCGGTCTCAATGTCTCGGGTATGGATTAGGTTCTGGCTTTAATTTCAGGCCCGTACAGAACTCGTTACCTTTTCATTTCTCAGTACATTACTCCATTCTTCAGAAAATTATTTACACTTTGCAGAGGTTTTTCGTTTTACTTCTTCCAGCATTTTGTGACAAACAACAAACTAAAACCAATCCATCGGGGATTCAAGCTATGCTCAGCCTGGCTGTCTGCGTGGCCTGTTTCCTGTACTTACAAGTGGATAATTGTGCCTACGGTGGCGTTGTCCTCGCCTCCGAGGC